GAAGTTTAAAAGATTATCTCAGTTTCTATTACAGAAATGGTTATCTGAGCTTGAAGACACCATGAGAGAACTCTGGATGGCTATCGTGCATGTGAATTCCACCCGAATAGACCTATCCCTTTCGAGCAGCCTGACTTCCTGGTTGAACTCCGCCATGGATCATTTGAAAGAGTGGGCAGGCATGGGAGCGTTAGCAGGCCTCTTGATTATGGTATCCCTGGTCTGCCTGTGGTGTATATGCAGGATTAGGTCTTCGAAAAAGTGTGATGCAGCTATGATTATTCAAGCCTTTACTGCCATAGAGGCAGGGCAGTCCCCCCAGGCCTGGTTGGCCACTATTAAGAACTAAAATGCTCTCTTAAGCGGGGTGGGAGGCTAAGCACTGCACGAGGGTTTGTTTGTATGCCGCTAGGCTGCCCTCGGAAGACAAGCCCGATTGCATGAAGGTTGTACCCAAGATCCTTCCCCTGGGAAAATAGGTACGGGATGGGTTTGGGTCACCGCAGGCGTAGAGTTTGTGGGTGTCACCAATATATTATCCCTTGTTTGCACACCGGGAATCGGGCCTCTATCTTCACCTGCTCTGTTTTTTAATAAAGAAGGGGGAACTGTGGAGAGCTGCGATGCGATGCGCCAGAAGATGGCGCCGGTTTCCGCCTTCCACCATCCCGAGGGTGAGCACTCTCTGGAATAAACAACTCCTTATTTGGCTTGGTCTAAGATTCAAACTTGCATCAGCAAATGCGAGCCTATCCGCCATGTGGTGTTCTGGGGTTGGCTGGCAAGAGTGCTTTAAAGCTGTGGGGGGCCTTGCGGCTTCCTTGCTGGTCAAGGCAGTCATGACACAAAACAAAAAACAGAAAAAAAAAAAGAATCACCTATGCAATCAAACTCTTCCTTCTCTTAAATTCCATAAAAGCAAGTGCCAAACAGTAGTTGGGGACTTTGTGTTCCTTTGCACATGTGGCCCACTGTTATTATTCTAATGGCATTCTTTCTTTCTGATCTATACTATCACTTTGCTTTGAATAAAGTGTCCTACTTTGCAAATCTGTGTGTGCAAAATTTCAATGTTTTGAATAAGATGTCAAGAACGTGGAAGTACCAAACCCAGATTCTGGGCCACCAGTAACACCAGTAATACCTACACAGTTAGGTGTAGTAACCAGTACAACTACACAGTTATGAAGAAAAGAGCCAAGCCAGCAGGCTGGTATAGAGAGAGTGATTATGAAGTGAAAATAGGGAACAGGCACAGCTTGTAAATGTGACATTCAGACCCAGCCTTTAAAGGTGACCACACACCCTCTTCAACAAACTAAATTATCATGTAAGGTTCTCTTATGGAATGGAGGGCTTTGTGATGCCATCCAGTGGCCCAATTCTATCCTCTGTGAGGTGGGCGTGACAAGGCTCAGCCCTGGGAGATATGGGCACTGGGACTCTGAATGTCCTAGGAGTAGGGATGGCTGTTCTCCTTATGTTAATGAGGTTTGGACCATGTTGAGCTATATCTACTTTCTGTGGGACATTGAATATCCCTTATATGTCTATTTCTACATCTTCATCATTATCCTAATTATCTGGCAAGTGAAACAGAATTATCAAGGATTGAAGTGGGAACAAAAAAGGAGCTGCTGCCGGGTAGGAAACTCTTTGACCACTACTGAGCTAGCTGAGAAACTTTCAAGTTCCAGTGTTTGCCCACCTTCCACTCATGACCTCACTACCCCTGTCTCACTTTGAATAGGATACTTTCTTCCGTGAGGCTGGAAGCCTTCCCTTATCAGGAATTTCATGAGGCATAAGCCAAAAACCTTTTTATTGGCTTGAATAGAAGACTACCATTATCTCAGATTTCCCAGTACAGGAGAATTTCCCAGTTTAATTTGTTATGTCGTTTATATGTGGAAGGTCTTTTGTATAAGAATGCATATTATAATGTGTCTATTGTTTTATTCGCAATTTCCAGTAGAGCTTCACTCAGTAATTGGATAGGAAATGGAGTTCAGATCGGTTTCCACGAGAACCAGAAGACTCAGAGAAGGGAGGTCGGGGTGAAAAGCGTGGAGCATAGCAAAGAGCAGTATAGGACAGTGGCAAAATTGCACATGGATAATTGAAAGGAAGAAGGAAATATTTATGATCTTTGCCACATTACAGACATGAAGAAGAAAATGGAGTCCTAACTTCACAATGTAATATTTTTCTCTTTAAGCGCCACCAAAAAGTCAGGCAAAGGGCTAGAGATGCAGCAACACAAGGTAAAGTCCCCGCGTCTCCTGACCCCTTCCCCGGGGAGAGCTCCCACCTCCTCTTATCCATGACCCTGCCCAGTGCCAAGTGCTCCAACTTCTGAGGCTCCAGAGCCACTAACTGGTGAAAGGAAAGTTCTGTATGAAAATCAGAAAGTAAGACTGTTAAAAAAAAGTCTCAACCTTACTCCCCTGACAACAAAGAATTGAGGAATGAAGATATCCTTAACAGTCATTTACCAGAATTCATTTCACCTGTAAGGGACAGTGCACTATAAATGGAGATGCTATAAGCAAACGTGCTGTAGAACACTAAGTCTAGGTGCTCAGATTCCTCTTGCTGAGCTTAAGACTTAGCATTCAGATCCCCATAGAACATCCCTAAAATGCTCATTCACCACATAACACTGTGTCCTAATTCCTCAGCCAGGAGACTTACCCAAGAAGAATCTGAGAAGCCATGGGAGCTGCTCTCTATCATGAAAAGGTGACCTCTTGACCTCTGCAGTCTCTTAGCTGTAATGATTTTTAGGCCTACTCTGGGTCAGGGGTGAGAAAAGGGGTAACTCTTCCTATTCCCATCTATCTCCAGTCTGCCCACAAAATCTATCATTTCCCTTTCCCAAGGAGATCCATGCATTCCACCTTGAGCCCTCCTTGTTACTTAGCCTCTCAGGGTCTGCAGGCTGTAGCATGGTTATCTTTCACTTAACAGTTTATGTCCACTTAGGAGTGAGTACACACCATGTGTGTCTTTCTGGGTCTGGGTTACCTCACTCAGAAAGTTCCATTCATTTGCCTGCTAATTTAATGCTCTTTTTCTGAAGGGAAGCAGGGGAGGAGTGGATCTTGGAGAGAAGGGAGGGAAGACTGGGAGGAGAGGAGAAGGTAAAACTCAGGATGTAATATATGAGAGGAGAAAGAAAGGGGGTGGGGATGACCGGTAGGAGGAGAAACACACTGGTTAGGCAGCTGAGAGGGTTGTGAGGGCAGAGACAGGAGGGAAGAGCCACCCAGTACCCACTGCTGTTAGGATCTCAGCAGCTCTGCAGTTCAGAACTGACTAGTGCACACTTTGCAAAGGACATTGCCTGTGTTGCACTCAGACACCAAATTGTCAAGAGGCAAAAGTTTCTGTTCTGCCTGGTCCCACAGCCATTTAGTTCCAATAAGCACATGGAGGCTTATATTAATTATAAACTGGTCAATGGCCTAGGCTTATTATTGGCTAGTTGTCTCTTACTTATTAACCCATTTCTATTAATCTGTGTATCTCTGCATTGTCTTGGCTTATTGGTGATGCCCAGCCCTCTTGCTTCATTGGCAGCTACATGGCATCTCCCTCACTGCTCAATCTCTCTGTTTCCCTTCCCTGAATTCTCCTAGTCTGGTAGCCCCACCTACTTCCTGGACTGGCTACTGGCCAGTCAGCATTTATCCATCAACCAATAAGAGAAATATATATTCACAACATATAGAAAGACATCCCCCATCAAGAATGGAGTTAGCATAAAGAAGTCACATGTCATACCTGCTTCCAGCTACTCCCTTTCAAGGGCAAAAAGCCCTGGGGCTACCTGGACCCCACTGACATTACCTCCTGTTGTCTGTCTGGGGGCGGGGGAGCAGTTGCTGGGACACCTTCAGCCCATCATCATATCCTCTACTTAATTTCTAGAGAGTGTGAATGTTCCCCAATGATTTCCTGGGTACAGCAGCAGGGACATCCCATATTTTGAGTGGTTCCCACAAAGACCTCATTTGCCAGTGCTAGCTCAGAAGTGTGGGACTGGAGGAAAGGGCACAGCAATCCCCAGATACATTCCTCCAAGGAGCTAGATGTCATTCCATCATTAATGGTGGCTATTTTTCTCTTCCTAGCCAAAGCTGGCTCCCCACAGAGGGAAATGTGCGGCAGCTCCTGTGTGTAGATCCCTGCTGCCATATTTGTGAATCTGCAACTCTAGAGATTCAGCAGTTGCTGGAGAGTGATAAAAGCCAGATCTCCCCTGCTTTGCCAGAACTGCCACAGGTCTCTTCTTGCCTGGACATGTTGCCCATATCCAGTGTGCCTTTTGACGATAATACGAAGTTTTACTCCAGGCACTCCACAGACTTTGCACTGGTACCTGTGACCCAAATGCCAATGGAACACTCAACACAGTCAGTCAATGCAGTTGGCATTCAACAAGTCTGTGATGATCATTTCCAGGTAGGACAGGAATTTGATCAGTCAGACATGGCCATGGTCTCTGAGGCTGTGGCTTCTTCAAGTCTTAGGGGGTCTGTGGTTTTAGTGAATGCTGGACAGTCAATGCACAGCAATCTAATCTATGTCCAGCAGAACCAAGGCTATCATCAGTCTTTGAATTCACAGATCCCTTTTCAGACCCTGAACCCAGAGAGTACTCATGTCACACATCCTGTGTCCCTGTCTGTTGTCAACATTCTCCCGCAGCCATTCCTCAGTCCTTCAGTGGTAAGGCTTCTTGAGCTACATGTGAAAAAACTGATGCATTCCCAAAGGTGGGGGCTCCCAAGACGTGTGGAGGAGTCCCTAAGTCAACTAATGCCAAACCCACCAATGTATTTCCAGCCTGAAAACAACCGGCCAGTTTCTTTTATCCTGAATAATACTTCTCAAGACTGTGGTAATAGGTTTGGGAGTATTTCCCACCAGACCTGGTACTCATATACAGACAGCCAACCTATGCAGACCTTTTGGGTTTCTGAGTGGTCTAATGTGGAACCAGAACAAAAAACACACTGTAAACAAATCCCAAGCCCTGGGAGAAAGCCCTTATTCACTCCTGACCATAATGTTGCCCATGGCATCTGTCTGCAGCCTGAGGGACAGGCTAAGGAACCCAGGGACAATTTTCAGAAGAAATTTACCCAGTTATTCTGTGGCCTCCCTTCTATGCACAGTGAATCCTTGGTTACTACCTTCCTAGGCACTCGAGGTCTCTCCAAGGACTCATCTAGACCCTCCTGCGAAGATCCTCATCTCTTGAAAGAGTCCTCAACCTTGCCCTTGCTGCCCTACACTCCACCTATGGCAGCCCCTCCTCCTTCCTCAGTTTTTCCAAATGAGTGTTTATATGAGCATAAAGAGGCTCAGATCACCGTGCCATTTTTGACTCTGGCCGAGTGTAAAACCTTGGAATGGCACCTTCTACAAAGACAGCTGCAGCTTCAGTGGGGCCTACCAGCTGTCATACCTGGATCTCCCTATATGCCGAGCTACATACAGTACAGGCCATGTAATAAGGCAAAGCCACGCGAGACTTTAAAAGCCACCTGGCCAGGAAAGTGCTTCTCGGTCCTCACCAGAGACCTTTTCTTTGTCCCAGAGCACGTGCGCAGGCTGCTGGAATTCCACCTGCAGAAGCAGCTGATCCACATCCGCTGGGGCCTGCCCCAGAGGATCCAGCGCTCCATTCACCTGCTGCTCTCCTCTGCTAACGAACACGCCCTGTCCTGCAGCCGCAGCCGGGCACTATCCAGTGTGAGCATCCCAAAGCCAGGCAGCCCAGAGGCTGATGGGTCTGGTGACAGGTTCGCATCTGCAGTGGACAAAGGGCCAATCCTCATGCCTCACTTGTTTGTCCAGGCAAAGGCAAAGTTAAAGATCCACGTTGATTCTAAATGTGATCAGATCCACCATGACAAGGTCCCTGCCTGTGTCCAACGCTCCTGGGAATTCTGCAGGTGCTTGTCAGCAGGGACTCCCTTCCCAAGCGTCCCACCAGGCCAGTCCCTGAAGCCACAGGCAGAAAATAAACCTGACCTACATCACAAAGTTGTCCCTCAGGAACCAACGAGTGACCAGGAGGAGCGGCCCGTATCATGCGCTTTCATTGAACACTGTAAGAGACCCCAATCCCTATCTGAGGAAACCATTAAGAAACTGGAGACAACTTTAAGACATAAGTATCTGGCCTTCCTGTCAGGTCTGCCTGCCCTTTACTGTGTGGCTCCTTCTAGAGCTACATCCCCAGCTGTTGGCCAGTTTGCAGTCACAGAGATTGTAGTTAAAAAGCCACAGAAATCCCTAACACAGGTGACCTCACTTGAAGACCCACGTCTGAGTAGGCTTGAGCCTTGTCCTCGGGATGAGGATGACATCAAGGCGTCAAGCCCTTGTCCTCGGGATGACATCAAGGCGTCAAGCCCTTGTCCTCGGGATGACATCAAGGCGTCAAGCCCTTGTCCTCGGGATGACATCAAGGCTTCAAGCCCTTGTCCTCGGGATGTCATCAAGGCGTCAAGCCCTTGTCCTCGGGATGTCATCAAGGCGTCAAGCCCTTGTCCTCGGGATGTCATCAAGGCGTCAAGCCCTTGTCCTCGGGATGTCATCAAGGCGTCAAGCCCTTGTCCTCGGGATGTCATCAAGGCGTCAAGCCCTTGTCCTCGGGATGTCATCAAGGCGTCAAGCCCTTGTCCTCGGGATGTCATCAAGGCGTCAAGCCCTTGTCCTCATGATGACATCGAGATGTTACACCCTTGTTCCCGGGATGACAGCGAGGTGTCTGCAGACATTACAGAAGAGGTACAGCCTGAAGTGCAGGTGGAAGGAAAGACAGAGATGGTGCCTCTAGAGAGCCAGACTCCCAGCCCCAGCTCATTAAACACAGAGTTGGTGGCGAGACTAAGTTTCCATCTGAAAAAAAAGGTCCTAGAGATAAAGTTGGGAATTCCAATAACAGCACGTGAGCTCCAAGAGCCAAATGCAGTGGGCTCGGGGACTGAACACCCTCAGGAGCTTGTAGGGAGTCTCAGTATCCCAGAAAGCATAGAGCTACAGAAACTGCCCGATTCAGGTGACCTTCCTCCAGCCCCAGATGCAAGTACTGACCACCGGAAAAAACAGCCAGCCACTGCAGTGCAGGCTGTGTGCCACCAGCGAAAGAAACCTAGTTCCAAAGCAGTGTCCCAGGGTTCTGTCCACTGGAACTCCAAGGCCTCACAACTCAGGAATGTGACCAAGGCTCAAGTGCCCTGTGTTCAGACGGAGACCAGTGGGGAAAAGCCCAACCTAGAGGAAGCCCTTAGCACTGAGCCTCATGGCCCAGGCAAGAGCAAGTACTCAGACCATGTCCCCAAACTGACAGGAAAGAGCCAAGAGCCAGGGAAACCCAAGGCAGTGGGGGACTTTGGAGAAGGGGATACAGGTCTTGGGTTTTCCCCAACCAGTGAAGGAACACACCATGATGAAGACCAGGAGCCAGAAGAGGGGCCTGTGCACGGGACACCCGAGGGCTCCTCACAGCACAGTCATAGCTTTCATCCTGAGGATCCCTGTCCACCCAGCCCCCAGAACACCCCTGAGCTGGAGTTCCCGGATCCACCTCCAGAAGTCTTCATGGAGAGGGAACCTGAGCTTGACACGCAAGACAGTCAAACCAAGGCAAATGCCATCCAGGAACATGCGAGGATTGCTGAGGTCCCCCAGCCTGTGGCCTCCTGGGCTTCCCAGGGCATTCCTTTCCCACGCCCACTAATTCAGGGAAAGCCTTTTCGGGTTCAAACTAGGCAAGACCGCATTTCACGGGGGCAGGGGCGGGTGATGCCAACCTCTCCTCAAGCTAGCCCTAGCCTTCCAGAGGCTGGCTTGAAAAATAAGGTGAAATCCTTTCTTCAGTCTATTAACCCCAAGATAAAAGGCAAAACACACGTGGAACCCATGGTCTCAACACCTGCAACAGTGGCCAAAACCAGTAAAGAAAATGTTGGCAAGGGTCTGCCTCAAGCCAAAAGCCCCACCCAGAAAACCAAGGCAGAGAACTGCAGAGGGCCCAAGGCCCAATCTGCACCCGCTGAGAAGTCAGTGATCGCTTCCTTCCTAACTGCGCCCCATATTCTAGACAGTAAGCTCCGGCCGAACCCTGGACAGCATGGCTCTGTCTCAATATCAGGCCAGTCTCCTCGACATTGTCCTCGGCACTGTCCTAAATTGGCTTATGCCACTCAACACAGAAACCCACCCTAGGTCCCAAGGTTCACCTCAGAAGTGTTGTTCTGCTAATGGAGACCACTCAGGGCGATGGCAGCCTCTCGGCTCCCCCTCCTCACTACCCTTTAAAGAGCACTATTGTTATTTTCTTTAATGAGCAGGTAGGTGGGTTAAAGAACCACCCAAAATATATTCTGTATCTGTAAACAGAGAGTCCCCTGTCTTTCTTGTCTCTGCTGTCTATTATTAAGGGTATGAAGGAAGCATTGATGTCTACCCCATCCAGGGAGGAGATTTGGCCCCAAATTCTCATACTTGTTCTAGAGAAGGACCATTAGTACATTCAAGGGATGCTTTTGAGTTTATCAAAAACAAGTAGCTGAAAAGAACACTCATAGCATATACGACAAACATCACAACTGAGTGACAGAATCTCCTTGTTGGTGTTGGGAATATCTTTCTAAGATCCATCTGGAAGTCTGCTTCAGCCCCTTTGCCTGGTTCTCATGCTTCAGCTATGTGGCCTAGGTGCCTCCTGGAAGGAGAATCCAGTTGGGGGGGGGGGGAACATATAGACTAGAGGAGCTCTTGTACTTGTGACAAAGCTGCTGTGTTCCTGATTGGCAGGCAAGAAACAAAGGGCCAGTTTTCATAGCACAGACTCAGGCCTGAGCAGGAGGCTAGCCCAAGGCCCAGCTGTGGGGGACAGGAGTGAGGCCTCTGTAAGCTGCCTGTGTGATAAAGGAGTGAATGGAGCTGTAGTGTCCTGGCCAAGATCCTCAGCAGTAGAAGGTGTGTAACATACTTGAGACCATTAAGGCCAACAGCTTGTACCATGCCCTATTGCCATGTCTATTCACCTCAGACACGCCTCCATCTTCACACCTCACCCCCACTCTGCCAGCCTTCCTCTCCCAATATACCTTAATTTTATTTTATTTTATATATTATTTATTTTAGAAATTTTATGTGCATAGAAATTTTTCCTGCATATATGTGCATTACATGTGTGCATGGGCCCACAGAGGCCAGAGAAGGGCATCAGATCCTTGCAGAAAGTACAGCAAGTAGATATTGAAGTGGTTAGGGAAAAGGATGAAGCCATGAGACTTGCCTTTCAAATATGCTCAGATTATTCACACAATCATTACAATCTCACATAAATATAAAGCTTAAAACAGACAGCTCCCCAAGTGGGGAGCAGCTGGGCAGATGACACTACAGCAGGGTTCCACCAGGGAGTCTTTTCGAGTTAGGATGCTTTTGCTCTTTTTGTTTTTTGTTTTTTGTTTTTGTTTTTTTTTTTTGTTCATTTGTTTTTGGAGCATGTCCTGGAACTTGATCTGTAAACCAGGCTGACCTCAAACTCTCAGAGATCTACCTGTCTCTGCCTCCTGAGTGCTGGGATTAAAGAGTGCACAACATTGGGCTTCCAGTTCGGATGCTTTAGGAGTTTGGTGGCTAAACCCACGTCCACCATGAAGTCCTTTAGCTGTGTCCGACCAGGAAGATGGTACTTGTGGAGGTTCTTGAGAGGTTTCAGATAGATGCTGGTGTTCACAGGCATGTGTAAGCTGAGCAACTGTGCTGAAAATGAATCGTCAAACCCAGGCCACACACAGAGACCAGTCCCTAAGTTGCCTTGCAGATGGGTATAAATGCTGAAGCTTGAGATGTCTTGGGAGCACAGCACAGCAATGTGACCCTAGGGACCACTTAAAAGTTTCATTTTTTGTACCATTTCATTGGGCCTTACCTTTGCACTATGGGGGCTCACAGCCTAGTCTGGTTCACTAGCATAACAATGCCACTTTGGGGTTAGTTCATTAGCATATCAAACTATTGGGATTAGCTCCTACCTGAGCCGCCTTGTGGCAATCTCCTTTCTCATGGAACATTATTTTAAGTCACAAACTGGTTTTCAAGTTATGCAAAAAGGTTTCACTTGTATTCCTAACAGATCATTTGGAGCTGAAATTGCAGGAAGCTAGGAGTAGATATGTAGGTTCTGGGAATCAAACCTTGAACCTCTGGAAGAACAGCTTGTGCTCTTAACCACTGAGCCATCTCTCCAGCTCAAGAAATACAGTCTCATAGTAGATAATGATACTGAACTCTGTAGCTGCTGCTGCTTTGGACTGCCAACCAGCTCCCAAATAAAGACACAGATTTATTATTAATTATAAATTCTTAAGCTGGGCGTTGGTGGCGCACACCTTTAATCCCAGCACTTGGGAGGCAGAGGCAGGTGGATCTCTGTGAGTTCAAGGCCAGCCTGGTCTCCAGAGCGAGTGCCAGGATAGGCTCCAAAGCTACACAGAGAAACCCTGTCTCAAAAAACAAAAAAACAACAAAAAAATTATAAATTCTTGGCCTTAGCTTGGGCTTTTCCCACTAGCTCTTTTTAACTTAATTTAACCTGTTTCTAGTCATATACATTTTGCCTTGGGCTTTTTCCCTTTCTTTTTCATTCTGTATGCCCTACTTTCCTGCTTTCTCTGTGTCTGTGTGGCTAGCCCCTGGTGTCTCTTTTTCTCTTTTTTCAGAGCCTAAATTCCTCCTCCTACTTTTTCTCCCTGCCTGGAAGTCTCACCTATACCTCCTCCCTCACTGTTGATCATGCAGCTTTTCATTAGATTCCTTAGGCAGTCAAGGTAAAAACAGCAACACATCTTTACATAGTTAAACAAATGTTCCACAACAGATCTCGGTCAGCTCTTCCCCCTCCCATGATCTGCATGATAATTTCCCTTCAGAGGAGGACTTCTGTACTTTGTCCCACCAAGGACAGTTCCACAAAAGCCTGACAACACCAACCCTCAAGTTCTGTTACTCTTTTTCTTCACCCATCTGCCTTACTTAGGGTTCTCATGAAAAATCATGACAAAACATGCAGAGACCATGGAGGGGTGCTGCCTACTGGCTTGCTCTTAATGCCTTGCTCAGCCTACTTCCTCATAGAACCCAGGACCTCCAGCCCAAGGGTGGCACTATCCACTATGGGCTGGGCCCTCCCCCATCAAGCACTAATTAAGAAAATGTTGCACAGGTTTGCCTATAGCCCAGTCTTGTGGAGGCATTTTCTTAACTGCTATTCCTTCCTCTCAGATGAAGTCAGTTAGTGTCAGGTGATGTAAAGCTATCCAGCACAGTGTGTCTCTTCTTTATGTTCCTCTGTATTTTAGAAGACATCAAAACCCTTCACCTAGATTTCAAAAGACCTTTAGGTTTTTTGAAAGGCTCCCATTTACTCAACAGCCACAAAATGTGATCTAAATTCTGGAGTTTAATAGCATATATGAGTCTTGTCAGTACCAAACAGAAACTCCATTTCCCCAAATTCTGGCTGTTAGACCAAAACAAGTATTTCCTGGAAACTTATGAAGCTGGTTCCACTCAACCAAAAGGAGCCATTTCCCTAGTCACTGGCAGAAGGGAGGAATTCCTGGTGCGTCTATTAGCATACTAAGAACCTGCTGGCCTCCAGGCTCCCTCAGAATCTATCACAAGTCCTGCTATACACTTCAGAGTCCATGCTAGCATCCTAGCTCTTCTCACTCTCCTCCCCTTGCCCCAACTTCTCCAACTCATGGTCTTCTCCCCTCAGCTACTCATTCCTATACCTCTGCTCTTTCAGCTATGCTCTGGTTTTGCCCTCTCTTTTTCTGAAGTCTCTTTGTCTTCTTCTCAGTCTCCCTCTGTCTCTCTGCTTCTCTCATGGCCAGGTCCAGTCTGCTGGCCATGTTCAGTCTACAACTTTCTGTCTCTGCTCTGGACTTTTCTAGATGCCTGTTCTCTCATATCTACAATACAAACCTTCCCCTTAACCATACCATGGAGCTGTCATGTAATCAGTTTATACACAGATCACACTTTTGGCCCCTTTGCTTTCTTTTTGTTGCTGGTGGTGGTAATGTCCACTGTTTGGCTATTTCAGGGACATCTCTTACTAATGAAAACATTGTGTTTGGATTTCTGTAATTCTTCTAAGAAAACAAATAGGCTGACAGTAAGCTGAGGGAGACCATCAGCAGAATCAGAAATGTAAGCCTTGTCTACATTCCCCCTCACAGACTAAACGAAGTCTCTCCTAGAGGCCTGAGGGCTTCTCAAAGAGCTTGCTCTGCTGAGACATTTCTAGAAGCCTTTCCTGTTACCTGTTTAGTCCAGCCAGCTTGTGTTCCACTCCCGTCTCTGTTGTGGGGTGTCCACCAGAGAAGACTTCTTAGACATGATTTTAAGCCAATAGAACTCTTTATTAACTGGCCATTAACTACACTGGGCATTCAGGATCCCAGTGCGGCCCCAAGCCTTCCTCAGGGTGAGTTTTCTAGCACAAAAACAACATCCTGGGTTGACATACTTCAATTAACAAGAACAGTTATACATAAGCAGAGCTACTGAAGTCAAGAAACAACATTAGTACATTTAGAGACTTTCAGAACTATGGACTTTGATGGAGTAGGCCTTTGTTTTTATTTTGGCAGGTGTGCTGAGTTTTAAGGTCTGAGTGGTATTTCCATCATGGAATCAGTTATGCTTAGGTCCAGGGGCCTGTTAAAAATCCCATCCCTGTCAATGAGTGGGTGATTCACCACCAAAGGCTCTGGACACAAAAATCTTCTCATTATCCTCACATTCCTTCAAGCCTACGAGGACAGAAGACTGTTTCTCCTCCTCTAATTACTTGGGCTGGGGCAAGCACTGGTCTCCCTAGGGAGAAGACTGGAAACCTAAACTTGTTAAGAAAGCCTTAGCACAACAGTGTAACTCAAGGCTACGCTTGCATCATAAAGTTGAAGACTTGAGTTGGAAAGAAACTTTTAACTGAAGTGACTGGCGAATAACTTTAAGATGACAAATATGAATAAAAGTGTGTATGGGGGATGAATCGTAAGGAAGATGTTTCAAAAGTCTTTGAGTGTTTTTATTTATCTATTTATTTGTGTATGTATGTATGTATGTATGTATGTATGTATTATTTTTGAGAATTTTTAGGTCAAATGTCTGACCCCTTGGGGGAAAGATACAGATTA